ATTAATGCGGTTTTCGCAGACAGCTCTACAGAATTTGATTAATAATAGATATCCATTCTCTCAAATATCATAATCATTCTTATTTACTTTTATGTTTTATAAAGAATGTCGAACCGGTCATAGACAACAAAAGAAATATCTGATCCTAATTAAAGTATGATAAAAACTTTAACTTTTTATAAATTCTGAGATATTTTTCTTTCAGAATTTTAAAGACGTACATTTATAAAATTATTTTTTAAATAATATTCTCTTGAAGATTTCTCTTTTACTAAGACCTCTATAGGTTTGTGTTTTTTTAAATATATATTGATATTTAAAACTCATAGGTAATTATTTACATCATGGTACAAGGCTATACTTATAATTATGTATCATAAATTTTATTTGTTTGATTATAATATACTAAGAAAGTAAATTGAAGTTTATCCTCTTTTTAAATGTACACTTACTATATTATGTAAACCTTTTCACATATGAAATTTGAACAAAATACACATTTTATGTTTGTATAATATCAATTGCTAACAGACTTGTGAAAAACAAAGAGAAAATTATTGAAGATATTTATAACACACAAAAAATAATTAATTCATCACAATATATATTTTTATACACAATGTTCCATGATTTAAATTTAACGCAATAAATGACAAGAATATTTATTCATGCACACTTTAGTTTCCCAGCTTTAGACCCTGGATTAAGATGGGAAATTGCCAGGAGAAGAAGAAGAAGAAGACTTTAGTATAACAAAAACTTTTTAACTTTAAGATTTCAAATGAGTGCGAAATACATTTACACATTTTACTGTGTAACACTTTAAAATAATGATTCTTTAAAACACTATCCATAGCAAAAATTCTTATATATTAAAAAATTGGGTAATTAGAGGTCATCAGCCTTAAAATAAAACAGCATGGAATAACTCAGAATAAACACCACTGTAGATATAATTTATTGTATCCATATAAAATCAGTAGATAAAACATACTTTGTAAGAGAGTCGATAATTTTTTAAATAAATATTGCGATCGATATTTTCATTGCAAGTCACTAAATTGGTTATTAATATTTATATTTGTTTATACAATTACGGTTGTATTAGGGTACATACAACGAAGAGTGTCAAGTATCTTTTGATGTTAAATATGATACGATGATGATTATGTTCTGGGTTTATATGGGAACAGAATATTTTTAGTCATCCACTCTAATATCTATTATAATCTTATCTGATACGCCAAAAATACATAATACTCTTAAAGTCATAAATGTGGTTTATAAAACAATAACGCAGGTTTATCTCCAAACGCTTGTATATAGTTTTTTTATATTAAGTTATTTGAATATTTTATCAGTAGGTATATTTGTTTGCGTAAAACAAATTTTGATCGCAATATTATATAAACTTGTAGAATTTATTATAGACTTTCCTTACATATTATCTATAATAAAAATAATATATCTGCTTCAATAGACAGACGACTGTTAGAAACAATTTTTATGATACAGATGATACGTGTACTCATTGACTGTATGATTGTGTATTGTAGTGGACTACAAAGTAGCATTCATATCAGTTGTAGTGTACGTTTTGATTTGCTAGTGATACATTTTTTTTTTATATATATAAAATGATTAAAGTAAATATTTCTGGATTTCAACTTCAAATACTTATTTCATTATGTAGTAAGTAATAAAATATTAAATTACAAAAACCTTCTGTACATTAAGATAATATTGAGCTATGTTGGATTTCCTTTAACCTGGACTTATAATTTCAAAATATAAGTTTGAAATCGTTTTGAGCAAGCGTGGTGATCTAATTTTCTCCATGTTAGAAGAGGCATTTGATGACGATAAAAATTTTTAGGATAAATTAAACTTAAATAAAAATATGTATTTAGATATTTATACGACAATTTAATTTAAAAATGCGGTTTATGTTTGTCATCTTAGCCTTCCTAATAGATCAGTTTGTGATGAAATGCTGCTAAGGTACTCCAAATATGTACGTTAATATAAAGTTCAAAAATGCTATAACGGGCTTAAAATATTTTTATTTCTTTAATAACATTGTCTTTATTAGTCTAGTTTAGGTCTTTATGTTTTATGTTCTATTTGTTTAAGTGTTACATTACTTTAAATAAGTTTGACAGTATTACACAACACTGAATCCTGATGACATAAAAATAATGAAATAAACCACAAATGAAATGTTGTTCTACTATAAATCGTATTAATGTTCACGGTTTTAAAATAAAATACAATGTACTTTTATATTTTGTGTTCCATAATATTCACATTATGTAACAAAAATGTAGTATTATACTCCATAAGTCTATTTAAAAAAGAATGAAAATTGATTGAAAATTAAACATAAGTGCCGTTATTATGAAGTGCTTTCATTTCAATACGTCTAGATGTAAAAGAAAATTATTTGAGAGAAATAGTAACACATATGTTGATGTAAATTTTTACTGTAATTCAAGTTATTATTTATAGGGTTTTATGTACATGGATGTTGTAATACTATTGGTTATTCAAATAAATAGAATTCGAAACAAAAACTGAGACAAATCTTCTGACGAAGTGATTTTAAAATTGTGAACTATGTGTCAGATGATCGAGATAAACATTAATATTAGACTACTACGGTTTTTGATAACATATAATCAAGATTTGAGTCTTGATAATGCTCAAAATATCTATTCTCAGTTTCTAGTTTTAAAAGTAAATATAAACTATACGCGTTAATAATCACTCGAATTTACCAGGAAAATAAATATGACATGAAATTTGAAACAAAGGCAGAGCAGATTAATTAATATATCAATTATATTAAACGAAAACGATTAATTTTCTATTGAGATTCATCTACGAAATTGGCGCAACTTCATAGGAGTAGACTGAGGGTCTTTTTAAAATAAATTAATCATTATAGAGCCGTTTTAAGCCATAATTTTCAAAACGATTTTCTATTTTTATAATTAAATTCATAAATTGATTTTTTAGTACTTCATTAAAAAATAATTTGAGAAATAAATCCACATACTCGTAGCTGTTATTGGAATATGATAGTAAGGATATGTAGTCGGCATTAATGAAAGGTAATAATTACAAGCAAACCAAATTTTATTTCAAAGAAATAATCAACTTTGTTTTAGAGAATCATTTTTATAAGTTTATTTTGTACAGTGCGATATAAAATAGCCACTTCTAAGTATTATTTCAGGCTTAACACAATAAGTTAAAGTTTTTTTCTTAATAAAGTTAAGATTAAAGCAAGTGCTGATAAGAAGAAAAATGCCTATAAATACTTTTAACTCGTTTACGCTGAGATAGAAGTTAGATTGTAGGTTACTGTTTCTCGTCACCAACTTTTTAAATATATCTACTGCTGTTTTTCTTCCAATTACGTTATCATATTTTTCAAAAGTTGTTTGGCAGTATTAGAGTTTGTAGTATTTTAGAATATACTGGGTCAAACATTCTCCAAGTGACTGGTTTGTTTATCCGAGACGTGTATTGTCTAGGAAGGTCATTCTTAATATTATCAATAAGACATGTTTCCAGTATCATATTTATAGTACGGTTTCTTTTGAATGTATATCGTAAGTCTGCGAATTATATATTTAGTTTTGTTTTTTCATATTTCATAGACATGAAGAAGTCATCAATTGTATATACTTTGAAGTTGGTAATCTTTTTTTCTCGATATGAAATCAGATCTTAGTGCTCTTCTTGAGTCGCTTAAAATAATATATTCAAAAAGATTACATTATAATCACCTTTAATTATATTTTATATGAAAATTGTGTCAAATTACGAATTCAATAAGAAACATTGTAAAAATGTCTTGAATATAACGTACTAGAAAAAGGATAGTGGGAAGGAAAACACTTATATCTTGCTAAAGGCGTATGGTAATTTAATTAAACAAACTAACACACAGATATTAGCATTTTGTTTGCTAAGGTTAACAATAATCCCAATAGTAAATATACACCCAAATCTTACTTGCACTATGTTTATCTAACAGTATGGATTATATCATAGCCTTGACAGTATTACAATGAAATTTAACTACGTTTAAAATTCTTCCCAGTCACAAAACCACATCAAATTCATACAAAACTTGGAAATTTTTGGTCATTAATTTATATAAAAACTTCTATTTAAACTTCTATTTAAATTTATATAAAAACTTCTATTTAAATAAGATTAATTTTTTATACTCAGAGTTTCCTAAAATTGTATTATTCGAATTTATTTAGTAGTTCGAAAGGTACGTGCCCTGTTCTCGCTTGAGATGACCCAATCTCACATTGATTGTTGAATATTACATAGATGAATATTTGCACTACCAATTTTATGTTTAGGATACAACTTCTTGGTACCCGTTAGTAGGAATACCAGGAAGGAAGTAGGAATTAATTAATACCAGTAGGAGCCAGTACAAATATGTTAAATATTGCATTCAATAAAATAAAGGGATTACTTTTTTCAATAATGTTATCTGTTTTATATAAAAAAAATTCTTTTAAGTAAAGATTTTTTTTGTAATCTTCAACTATCAATACAAACTTTAGACGGTGCAGACTTTATATGTATTTTAATATAAATATGACGGCGCATTTGTAATTTAAGAGACCGAATTGATTCTTACGATAGATTGAGGGTAGTTGTAGTGATTTAGCGAAGCGAATGTCACTGACGATACGATAGAAGCCTTCAAGTGACAGTCCGCTTGACGTAACTCGGGGGACTGGCTGTATCGTGGTAGAATCGATGAATTAGTTGTTTATAAATTTACATCGAAGTGGTTTTCTAAATAATTAGCTAAAAGTTAAATAAGCCGCAAATAACTTATTTGTTATAGAAATTTTAAATGACTATTCTAAATAAGGTCTAGTTCTATACATGATATAAGTCTAAACAACAGTGTTTTCAAACAAGGATTTTTTCTTATTCTAGCTATATGTTATTTGTTTTAGTGTATCTGGGACAAATGCTGATTGGTTTTACAATATCATGGTCAGGACCTATTATACCGAAACTTCAGGACTTAGAACAATCTCCTATATCACATACATTGACAGACACACAAGCTTCGCTTATTGCATCTTTATTATACATAGGTTGTATACCAGGTAGGTTGAATTTATTATGAAAGTTGAAACTACAAATGGAAACATATCATCAATGTTGTAATTTAATTATTTCAGGTCCATATCTTGTTGGATGGCTTTCAAACACCAAGGGTCGAAAACCATGTTTCCTGCTAGGTGGTCTTCTAAGCATAATAGGTATGTTTATTTAATAAATATAATCTCACTAAATTAAATTTGATAAGTTAACAATCATTTTAAAAAGTTTTCATTTCTTTTTACCCCTTGCTGCATGAATTATGAAAGAGATGATATAATTTTTTTTTTTTGGCAAAAATGTGTTTATTGTAGCTTAATTAGTGAGATCAAATCAACAAAAAAAAATATTAGCTTATAATTCAAAAGTTAGTAATCAACGCCATATGTGGCTTCGTATGCATTCTAGCCATATACGCTTCGGTCAAATATGGCTTCGTATGCATTTACGTGTAAAGTATTTTATTCCTCGTGAAATTCTTTGTAACAGTTGCGTTTGTCATTATAGCACAAATAAACATTACATTTTTCACATAAAGTAAAAGAACGAAATTTAGAACAATTTTGGCATATTTGTCGGGCATTCTTCTTCCAAATCGGAAAATGGCTAATCCCATCGGTACGCACGGACGCCAAAGGCAAGTCTTGATGCCTAGCTGGCGTTTTTCGTGTCTTTTTTGCGGGAACTGGAGATTCAGGAATACGGGAGGGAGTGCCACCCCGGCTGGATGTCGGAGTTCCAACAATGCTCGATGGACGACCACGTTTCTTGGTCATAACTGCTTTTCCTGCTTTACGCAAATGTTCGGAAACGGCCAGTTTGAAATCATAAAGTTGCATGTATGAGTCAGCATTGATTCGGCGCCATAACAACCAAGCATTGACAAGTGTCATGTCCACCATGTGAAAAAAATCCTCTTGTACCATTGACGAGACCGCAAATGGATTCTACATATAATAACCCAGCATAGAATCTAGTAAATCCACTCCTCCCATATGCTGGTTATAAACATCTACAGCTTGGGGTGAAGGTATGTAAACATATTCTTTATCTTAGCGAACGTAACGCCGCTTTGTTGTTGTGGGTTCACTTCCAACGTAGGCTGAAAGAAGATTCACATTCTTGTTATCGAACCAAGAAACTAAGCTCAACTTGTCAAAGGGACGTCGTCTTCCTCAGAAAAATCTGATTCTGACTCCGGTATAATGATATGTCGTTTAGGAGTTAAACTAATGGAGCCAATATTACAATTATCGTCACAATCCGAATCAACATCATCGTCACTAATGTCACCATCACCTGGAATGATGTTTACATGCTTTGCAGTGCCATAAAAGCGTGCTGGGTCCATTTCTAGAACAAAAAAGAAAGAAGCCTTAAATGCATACCAAGCCAAATATGACAGTACCACTTTTGACCATAATGCATACGAAGCCAAATATGGCAATTTTGAAAAAGTAGATAATTACGTCGAAATATGCAAAACAAAGCAAAAATCAAACATTCACCGTTTATAAGAAAGATAAAAGAATACTGTGGTATTTTTTTCAACCGTTTACTCACCTTTTTGATATGTTTTTTTTTAAATTAAAAATTACACTTTTTTCGCTGCACCTGCTCCGCCGCACGCGCTCAACATAACCTTAAAAATATTTAACAGCTAACATTTGACATGAATGAGTTAATAACATTCCGTTTCACCATGAAATTCCGGATCTGTTGTTGGTTAAATTTTAAAAATCGGACATACCAGTAGCTTGTAAAAAAAATGTAAACTTGGTCATCCATATATGGTTTCGTATGCGGTAAGGGGTTAAGAAATATAAAATGATTCCATATTAGAAATGTCCACAAAAATATTAGTAAGATAAATAAGTATTTTAAAATAACAACTTTCTTAGAGATCAAATCTAAAATTCTAATAATATTAAAGTTTATGTATGTCTTTTTCATATCTATCTAATATTCGTATATTTAATTCTAAATTATTTTTTCTATTCGATGGTAATTAACTTCTTTCAGGATATATTATGCTCGTTACTACCAATACTCTGACAATTCTCTACATCGGAAGATTGATGACAGGTCTAGGCATTGGATGCATCTTTCTAATGATCCTTGTTTATATGGGAGAAATATCGTAAGTATAACAAAATGTAAATATTTACCTAATCGTTTTAAATTGCGTAATAGAACGTAGTATACGAAAAGATCTTAGTTTTGAACCTTGTACTGTGATTTGAAGTACCTGTACTGGGAAAATGTAAGTGTCATCAAAACTTACCGGGTATAAATTTTTGTATGTAATTTTTTAACAAAACTAGTATTAGACTTTCTGTTAAGTTACTGTGACTATAAATGTCGAAGAAAAAAAACTATTAAAACATATTCCCTATTATCTTAAGATTAATTACATAGTATCCTAAAAACATCCTTTTTTGTATAGACCAGATAACGGCCTTGGAATTCATCAAAAATATAAGATCCAATGTCCATGACCACGCTAACAACCCTCATAGTTGTTCTGCGTACATCCGGAGCATTATACGAGAAAATTTATAAATTGTTGGCAGTAGATGACAAAAAACTGATGACAAATGACAAATACTTTAAAAGTCTCTTTTCGTGATCACGATTGCTATAAAGTAATTGAATCGTGTAGTATAGCGAAAACCACAGTACTATTTACTGTTTTATTTGTGTATTAGCGAAAATTCAAGATGTCTCGACATTATTAACAAATTTTTATTGAACTGCTATTGATTTGCCTAAAGTTTTGAGACAGATAATTTATTGTTTTATATCATACATTTATTTTTATATACTGTATATATATGTTACAACTATTCGTTTCCAAATCTTTCTTACGTCAGATTTGATTTGCGTTCCTTGAATTATGTATTTCCTTATTTTTTGCTTCATATTTGATAGGCGATTTTTTATTACATTTTAGTGTTATTACACCTGTTTTACTTTGTTTGAAGAAGTTTTTTATTCTAAAAGTGTCATTGAACGATAGCGATATGATAAATAATGTTATTCTTCCTAACATAGTCACGATTTATTCTTTTATAATTTTTTTATTTATTAATTTATAATAAGAAAAATAATAATAAAATAATCTCGTCTCTGTGATAAACCAATTTTTGTTCCCAGGTCTACGAGTATCCGTGGTATTTTGCTTGCTATTCTAGGAATATCTATTACTTTAGGTTCAACATTATTATTCTCAGTATCATCATTTTTCTCTTATCGAGCAACAAACTGCGTTGGGTTAGCGTTAACTACAATATTCACTCTATGCATACTCATGATCCCAGAATCACCGATGTTTTACGTTTTAAAAGGTTAAATCGTTTGTCAATTGGATTTATACTGATATTATTTAACAAATTTGCAACATTGAAAGAAAACTATTGTTACAGGAAATGATAATGCTGTGAAAAAAATATTATCAGACTTAGATAGATTGGATGATTTAGAAAAATTAATTGCATCAAAGGAGGATTACAGGACTATAAGTAATATAAAAGACTGGAAAGATCTATTTACAATAAAAAGCAATAGAAAAGGATTGTTCCTTGTCATGTCAATTAACATTTTACAACACGCCAGTGGTGTGATGGCTGTTATATTTTTTTCGTCAACCATTTTTGAATTAGCCGGTTCAAAAGTAAACGGAAATATAGGAATGATAATTATTAGCGGTTTTCAATTAATGGGAAGTACTTTGGCTCCTGTTTTTATTGAAAAGATTGGAAGAAGGATCGTCTTAATGATATCCTGTGTGATTTGTTCTGCAGCTATGGTAAGTTATATTATTTTACCTTCTTCAAGCTTGAAACCTTTGTCTCAATCTCATTAGATAACTAGTGTACAAAATAAATGATTTCTTTTTATATTTATAAACATTTATACAGTCTATTAAAATGAATAAATTATACGAGTATTATGAGTCACATTATATATTGCTCCATCTTTATCGTTCGGTTTTCAATAAATTTATTAATACTGTCATTTTGTTCGGCCTTATTAAACAGTAAGGTGACACGCTTGCTCAAAATTAACGATAGTTTCGATCCTTAAAACGTAAGGAATAGAACCTCTCCGAAGATATTACATCATATTTAGTGAAGAGTGTAATTTTACTAAAGATTGCGAAAACTTATGATCTTATTGACCCTTATTGAAATGTGTGATAGTGTACAATAATTTAGTAATATTTGTATATTGTAGTAGTAATATTTATATATTGTATTTTTTAAAAAAGGTCAATCTTTTATTTTTCTCTATATTTATATTAATCATTGCTATAAATGAAACTAATATTTTTGGATTACTACGCATATCTGATTGTATTTAAAAACTACATACTCCCGCCGTTTCGGGAACTTTGAGAACTGTGATCAAAAGCAGACGAGCTGTGTGATATTAATTTTTAAAAATAATAAAATACGTGTAGTAATCCGAAAATATTAGTTTCATTTAAATGAATAATCGCGAAAGTCTTAGATCTAATCATTAGTATTTTGACGATTATCTTACAATGAAATCATCATCAACCGACGTCCCCCAAACTCCCTCAACAGTGACAAATCTTTATACACACAAAAAAAAAATACAATAATATTTAGAGTATACTTTTGTAAAATCCAAATCAAAAATCTAAATTTTTAATCTCCAAACACTTTTACACTCCTACAATGTATTTGATTCCATAATTGTACTCATTAAAATATAATTGTCTTTTTACATTGTCTTTTCAACGATACTTAATCAAGGGTTTTTACTTCATAATTATCATCGACATATTACATTGATATTTAGAATGTAATGAAAACACAAGGGCTCTTTAAATACCTATTTAAATTGAAACTTAATTCAACAACTCTTCATAATTATTTAACCAATGTAACAATAACCTTATAAATACTTTTTATTGAGGTGATATAAAATTGCAAAAAACTTGAGTTTGTAGATTTGAATAACATGATCTTTTTATGTTGCAGTTTGTCATGGGAACATATTTTTATTTGTTGCATCTGGAAAATCCAGTTATCAAAACTATGCATTGGTTACCACTTGTAATTCTTATAATATTTTTCATTGGATATGATTCAGGCAAGTATAATAGTTTTCTTTGTTCTCCTTACATAAAGTTAAAATATTTATTGAAGTATACCTTTTTAACTGAAAAAACTAATAAGAACAAGAAAAGGAATGGTATTTAAACGAAAATTAGTCCAAACTTATAAGTAACTGAAGTCAAAACAACATTAATTAATCAATAATTAAAAATAATTTATTCACAATATATTTATTATTAAAGCATTCATTTACTATTTCTCTTTTTCCAGGTCTAGGAATAGTCCCGAATGTCTTGATCGGTGAGATGTTCACGCCAAATGTTAGAAGCAATGGATCAACATTAGCAATCACAGTGACCTGGTTAAGTGGTTTCCTAGTCACTACAGCTTTTGGAGCGATAGTGAACGACGTTGGTGCATTCGTTCCATTTTGGTTCTTTTCCTTTACTTGTATTCTCGCATTCCTCTTCACCATATTTTTCGTTCCTGAAACTAAGGGTAAAAGTTTGTTAGAAATACAAATGGATTTAGGTAAAAAATAGCATGACAATTTTTATGACAAGGCAATAACCTTAAACTTACTAAAATGTTATTTATGGTGTTTTTCACTAAGGGTTTAATTAATATCCCAACATAAACAAAATCTATACGTTTTGACAATATATGTACAAATTTTATCAATAATTTAATATGGGCCGAACATTTTATGGACAAAATCCAGAATTGATCAAGAAAACGTTTATTCGAGGTTGCTTAAATAATCTTAAAATAAAACGAATTCTTCGTTTAATTAATAATCAAAACATTTTTATGATATATTCTATTCATGCCTATAAACTGTCAAAAGTAATAATTACACTCTCCTACCTGAGTAAAATACCTTATATGGGTTTCCGTCCAAAGATGCAATAATGTACAATTATCAATAATATTAGTTTGTTAGTTAGCAATTATATTCTTTTATTTTTATTTCATAGTAATACTATTTTTTATATTTTAGACTTTCCTTGTAGCCAACGATAATGTATGTATGTACATTGTTCATAATATACAATTGAATGTTAAATCTGTAAAATTTATTTTATTTATGTAATTATGTAGTTAAGATAGTTTTTGTATTTTAATTCGGTCTTCTGACTGACGCTAAAACTACAATAAGATAATCTAACGTGTCAGACTAAAGACAAATATTAGACATTCTTTTATATTTCATAAGAAGTTAAGATACAGTAAAGTATGTTTGTATTCAAATATTTATTTAACACTTATTTATCTTATCTTATATATATAGATATCTTAGGTTTTCGCATATGTGCATTAAAAAAAAATTATGATTTTCGAATATACTACACATTCATTTATTATTTTAAAAAGTATATACTCGTACTCCCGACGTTTCATCATAATTTCAACTCGTCTGTCCGAGATCATGATTTCTGCAAAAGGGACCAACACGTATTTTTTTATAATTTTTTATACTAGTTCGCATGTGAATTATTATTTGTGTTTATATCCTAGTACTAAAATATAAAAATGAAAATATTTCACAATTAACAAAATTGAAAGTATAGTAACTTAATAATTTTATGGTGGTAATATTAAGATTAAATTGCGATAACATTTAATACCATTTAAGACGATATTTTCATATCTTATCCTTGTTATACTACGCATGGGATATTGTTTCTGAGGCAGTTACGTTTCTTGCAACAATGTATGCTTCTTATCTCTTATTTACGCTATTCGTAGCTATTATTAAGATATTTTTAATAGTCGTACGATATCTTAGGCTTACGACAAAAGATATATTTTTTGTAGAGTTGTAAAAATATATTCTGATCTAGTTTTCATCTTGTTTTTTAAAATAATAAACGTTATATACAATTCTTCTTTTTTTAAACGATTACTTGAATAATAGAATTAATTGAATAAAATATCCCGATAATTCAAAATATTTCTTCAAAATATTCTGTCATAGCCATAACTTAGCCATAGCCCACTGTTTCAGGTCTAAAAGCTGTTTGCTCTGGTTTATTGAGTTTTAACAAAAAGACACTGTTGTATTAGACCAAAGCCTTTAAGATTAAAATTTCTTACGTAACAAGAAAAGCACAAATGTAAGATACGTAAAAGTGATCTTGAGATTTAACGCAATGACCAGTGATTTCCTGTGCTACTACATATTTTTTATACTATTTCATATTTATTTACAATAAAATATTTAAAAATACAAATAATATCAAAAGTTTGAAAACCGAAAGATGAAAATTCATTTACATTTTTTACTGTGATCGTAATTACCTACATCGCATTTTAAAATGAACGAAAACATTATTTGTACAAAACAATGTAACAACAGGATATTAGGAATGCCTGAATGTTTATAAACTCAGAGATATCCAGAAAACACAAACAATGTACAACAGTTCGACTTCAATTTTGAAAGTTACTCGATCTGTAGGAACTTGTACAAACATCCCAAACTTTTATATAATGGCTAGATGTTTTCTTACAAATCAAATAAATTGCAGAATTCGGTTGTCACAACATTCCAGAATCTAACATATATATATTTAATCCTCACAATTATATCTCTATTACAGTTTGATGTTTGACTGAAATTAATATTACATATATATGTTTTCAAAATTATTATTGTGTCAGGTTAAGGGCTTTTTTATTAATTTTAATTTGTTGGTCAGTAAAAACTTACTTTGTGCCATTTTTCGTGAAGCGAGCAACCACCCAACGCTGTTTTCACAGTGAATATTTTTCATTCATTATTATTTATTGTTTGTCTAAACGGAATAATATTTTACACTTTTTAGTTTTATCTTATGCAATAAAAGGGTGTTTTTTAAATTTATTTTCTCCACACATTTTTTTTAAGGTGTTGCTAAATTTTACTTCCAATTTACGTTGCTGTTACTATAGAACATATTTTTGAGGTTTCTCAATGAAATTGGAAGATAAAATTAATAGATCAAAATCCCAGAACTGCCCGACGTCACGTATTTTCTGACGGATGAAATGTGGATGATTGAGTAGAGTTAATATGTATTAAGATTGTATACCTACCGGCTAGCTTGGTCAAATGGCTAATTTCCAGGTATCAAGGTACATAAAAAAGTTACTTTCTTTACGTATTTTCTCATGGCAAATTTTCATAATGTTATAAAATGTATATATAGCCAATAATAAGTTGGCAATACTGGCAGATACTTTAGGTAGGCCATATTGCTTGGCAGATGCTTTAAAGCTTTCAAAATAACGAGTTAATGTAAATTTTTACTCTCCATTTATAGATATGTTCACCCGACAACTACATATTTAAAAATTGACAAGAAGGCAAACCGAAGCTCTCTTTTACAAGATGGTTAGTTACTGGCATTGAAATTTATTAGATTCTTTCCAATAAATTCTTCATTTATATTAGATACCATATATGTCTTAAAACTTTAGATTGGTGGCATCTGTATCAATTAATTATTATAGGAACGTTGTAAACATGATAGTAAAATTTTGTATATTATGTTGAATACACCTTATTCTTCATCTACATCACCAACAAGTGTCTAAATTGAAATCAATAAGTAAAAAGATCTGTATGTAGTTTGACCGATAGATATAGTGTTAGAGATGAATATCGCAATTTTTGATTGATGTGAAATTATCGTAGGAAAAGAAACATATACTTAATGAAAAAAAAAGTAAATAGTCCAAAACAAAGACTAACCTAAAAACATATATATTTTACGATGATGACTAAATTGCATGAGATACTTATGTAAACTACTTTTACTATTTTAAAATGTGTTGAATGTGTCAGATTTGACAGCTTAAACTGGGCACAGTTACCAGGGAATCATAAATCTGCAGGGGATCATTCCGATTGACATGATATTGATTGATTGAAAGTAAAAGTGGAGACAGTGACAGACAGACAAGGAAAAAATATCAACAGTTTTGGAACTTCAATAATGCAGCTTTCATAATAATTATGAAGGTGTTATGAGTTAGTCAAATGTATTAGTATTAAACTTTAAGAGTTTACTTTTCATAAATTTATTCATCTATGTACTTATATAAAATATCTTGTAATCGTTCTTTGAAATTCAATTTATTAAATTTGCAGTTAAACTATGGTAGCTAAACTACATTACTTTTTTTAGAGCAGAATTTAGTGCAAAATTCGCTTATATTTATTTTTTAAAATTCATATTATCTAAAAAGAGTAAGAATCAAACCTATTTCACAGACAAAATAATTGTATAAAATAAAATGTTGTCTTATAACATATTAAATAATTAAAATAAACTTTATGAAAAGCAGGTATTGTATAGGTTTTAATTTACTTAGAGATATTTCTGGAAGACAGTGTGTATTCTGTATTGCACTTTCACTGCCAATAAATCGATACGTGGAACATTTGACGTCCTTATGATTTATGTGATCCTGGTATATGCTTCTAGGTTGAGCTTATATCGGAAACATGTCCATTTGAGTGTTTTATAATCATCGCCAACAATCTTTTTATTGACAACTCAGAGTTATTTCGATAGAAGATGATGCCTGAAGACTTCTTAAACTGTGTATTGAAGCCATATTTGAACACTCATGTTTACTACGAGTTACTTAATTAATGACAACAACGTCAGCGCAAAATATATTACAGGTATTGAGAGTATTTAGTCATATATTAAATGATATTTCACATTTTACCTTAAAAAATCCCTTGCAATTTTACAGAAACGGTCACAAAGGAAAAATTAAAACACGGCAAGTGACAAGCAGTAATGTGAAACTTCATTCGCTAACATATGTATCTTATTTCTCATATTATTTATATGCCTATTGTTTCAGTCTTACAATTAACCACAGTAATTACTGATTTATTGGATACTTGGAAATGAATATAATGAAAATTATAAATATAAAGGAATCTCATTAAAAATATTAATTTATCAATATTAAATATACATAAAGAAATTAAATACATTGTTGTCTATATCTCCATTATTTTATTAATGCCATAATGTTGACACATTATTCTTAAGAATCTCACTGCCTTACCGGCCAGTTACTTTATTAATAAATAGGTGATCACTACAAATTATAACCCATAATGAATTCAAATATTTGTACAAAATTAAAGTGTATGTTTTATACATGTCTGTAAGTCAGTGGTGGCCTAGTGGTTAAAAGGGTCCGCCTTTCGTGCACGAGGGTACGGATTCGATCCTGGCTAGTACCAATGTGATTTTTCCGAGTCATTTGTACTTTCTAAAAGTTTTACATTATTCACATACGGTGAAGGAAAAACATCGTGAGGAAACCTGGACTTATAATATGACAATTATAAGTTTGATATCACCAACCCGTCTTAAGCAATCGTGGTGATTAATTTTTTTTTTTTTTTTTTTTTTGGTGTCGGGTTGGAAAATCCTTCATGGAGCCCCGCCGCCCTCGGGGAAGGACGGAGGGGACTGTCAGACTCCTACTGACTAAAAACCAACCCGTGTGCCTCATCTACCCGTGTGCC